TAAAGCCCTAAATGGTTTAGGACCTCAATATCTAGCGGAACGCCTCCCCCCACCTAGATCTACCCCAATCACTTGTTCTAGCTAGGAAGGGTGGCGAGGGGCCTAACACCGAGGGAGGCCAGGAGGGAAAGAACAAGAAACCAGGACTTCTTGGCAGTGGCCCCTCGCCTTTGAAACAGTCTGCCCCCAGAGATCTGTCTGGCTTCCTCGCTGGGTGTTTTAAGAGCAAACTTAAGACCTGGCTCTTTAGGCAGGCTTTCCCTCCCATCACCACTTGAATATTTTTCCCATCTTGAACCATATTACTACTGTTGTTGTTTTTTTATTTTACTGTATGTTTTTATTATATCTATTATCGTTAGCCACCCAGAGTAGACTTCGGTCTAGATGGGTGGGGTATGAATTAAATAAATCAATAAACAAACAAACAGTAAGAACTTCTCCATAAGTCCTTCAATGGGCCTACTCTGGTTGTGACTTTCTATGGAAAGCAACAGGATTTCAATCAAGAAGTGTGCCAGTTTTTGTTGATTTTGATGCAACAGACAAACATCAGAAGTGTGCCAGTTTTTAAGGTGCCACAGGATTCTTTGTTGATTTTGATGCAACAGACAAACATTAACTACCCATCTGCAAAACTATGCTATTATTCCATTGAAGTGGAAACATTCTGAAAGTTTAATACACATATGAGGTGGAGTGGGTGAAAAACGTCATGGGAAAGGGTTTTATTGGTACTGTATGTAGCGGTCACGTAGCTAGCTACACACCAATGTATAACAATTCTGACAGTTATTTCATACCAGTTTCCTGGTCAAGTTGAACCTGCTTCCTTTCATTCTCAAATGCCTTGAGCCAGCGCTGTTTTTGTTCCGGCTTCTTTGCACAGAATAAATGGACTTCTTCCGTGTCCTTGCAGAGCAATTTGAATGCATTTTTAACAGTGATATTGAAGTCCTTATCCTTCCCATCTTCCACATCCAGAATCTCCATGTTATCCATAACAATCCGACTCTTATAATAGAGGATGTCACGTCGCAAGAGATCCTAAGCAAAAGCAGCAAACATGTTCTACCTCAGCTTTTCCACTCAGTTCTCTGATGTGTGAACACTCAGACAAAACGATATATGTACAAAATACTAAAGACACGGAGTTTCTTCTCTGCATCAGAAAAGGATACAAACTAATTTTTAGGATCTACATCTGTTACTTTCTCTCTGCTTATGTACAACAACTCATAGAGATATATTCTACAAAGGGCTTTGGGAGAGGGAATACAAGAATCACCTAAAGCAGCCCAAATCAACATACACATGTAAATCTTATGTGGCAGATAAATATAAACAAAACAAATGAATGTAGAAATGAGCTGCTACTGTCCTACCTGATGTAACATATCCAACTTCAATTTTTAAAACTAAAATGGCAAGTAAAATAGTGTTACTATGAAAGAAAGACTTGAGTTTTTAAAACTTGCTCTCACAAATACATGCTGGGGTTGCATTCCTCAAATGGTTTATAATAATTATAACAAACATTTCTTCTCACTGATGCAATATTGTACTACGCAAATTTGTTTTAAAATACTACATAACAAAGTGATCTCAGCTAAAATCAAGAGCCCAGGATGTATTTGCACTCCTCAGAAGTGATAAAATCTCCCGTCATGGCAACAGATGGTCTTTTGTGCACACAGATGTGCACCCGTACATGCACACAAATGGATTCTTATTAAATAGTGTGAAGGCATTTGAGCTCGGAAAACCTAAGTGAATGATTGTAATGTACCATTTTGTGTAAAAATGTTTAATGAGCAAAATATAAAATGTAACAGAATTGAAGAGGACGCCCAAATCTCATATTAGTTACCGCTCTGCAAGCATAATGCAAGCAAAGGGCTGCAAGTGAAAAAGTCACTTTAGACAGCTGTTGCCTATGCAATATCTGTGACTTAATGTACAATAAATAATGTCTACACCGATGTTGCAACTTGAGGGAATTCATAATACATCTGCATTATGCCAGAGTCTACTGATGCTGGAGGATGCTGCCAGATAGGCAATGGTAGGCTGCTGATGTAAGATCAATTAAAAGCAGTGGGGGATCTTCCCTTAGAGATCAGGCTTTTTCTGCCCTTAGAAGGAGAAGAAAATCCTATGCCCTCAGGATTTTAATGATGGAAAATTATTATTATTATTCTTGCTTGCTTGCTTGCTTACTTGCTTGCTTACTTACTTACTTACTTACTTACTTACTTACTTACTTACTTAGGAATGAATGGATGGATGAATGAATGAGATTTTTATACCACTTCATTTAGTGAAAATCCATTATTCTGGGTTGTCAAAGAAACATGAATAATCCCCTTGCTACCTGCCCCCACCCGCCAGAAACAAATAAAAAACCCAAACAAATAATAAAAACTCAAATTAATAACTAAATGATGTTGACTTTGTTCTAAGAGACAAAAATGCCTAAGCCATCAGTCAAATCACTACATAAGGGCAAGAATGTCCTTAAAGGTTTCTTTGAACAATTCCTTTTTTACTTTAAAAAAAGTCTGGAGGGAAGAGGCCTGGTGAATCTCCAATGGGAGACTGTTTCAGAGTGAGAGGGCTACCAGCAAGAAGGCTCAGTTTCTGGTTGAAACAATTCTCATCTCTCTTGCCGTGGCCACCCATAACAATAGGACCTGGAAGGGTCGGGTGGAACAAACAGCAGGTTTTTTGGAAGAGACTCACGTCTCCAACTGCATTTATATCCCACCTTTCCTACAATTAGGGACATGGTGGCGCTGCTGGTTAAACTGCAGAAGCCTCTGTGCTGCAAGGTCAGAAGACCAGCAGTCATAAGATCGAATCCACACAACAGAGTGAGTTCCCGTCGCTTGTCGCAGTTCCTGCCAACCTAGCAATTCGAAAGCATCCAAATGCAAGAAGATAAATAGGTACCACCACGGTGGTAAGGTAACAGCGTTCCGTGTCTAGTCACGCTGGCCACGTGACCACAGAAACTGTCTATGGACAAACACTGGCTCTAGAGTTTGGAAATGGGGATGAGCACCGCCCCCTAGAGTTGGACACGACTGGACTAAATGTTAACAGGAATCTTTACCTTACCTTCCTGCAATTATCCCACTACCAGTTCTACTCCCTTTTATTCTCACAACAAATAGCTTGATGGGGTAGTTCAGCCTCAGAGCAAGAGCAACTGGTCTACAGTTACCCCACGTTTTCATGTTTCAGTAAAAGCCAGAAGCTGGAGCTTCTACATCCCATTCTGTCATTCTTAAGTGGCTTAACCACTACACCACACTAGCTCCACAGTCTTCTGCAATCAATGATGGCTTGACAGTACTGAGTAAGATATTTTCCTAAATATTAGAGAGAGAGAAATCTTTACAGCATTGTGAAGTCATCATAAATCATAAAGGATCTTCCATCTTGGATTAATTTTCTACCATTTTCATACAAGAATGGTGGAGCCAATGAAGTAAAACAAACAGATTCGGCAGTTTTTGCTCACTTGGTATAGCACACAGATGTTCTTATAGTAAACGTCTAATGTAAAAAATGTAGTGAGCACATGGAATGGTTTTATTGGCAATACAGTCATTTGTGAAGCACATAACCAATATGTGTTTCACTTCTCAGTTTCTCTGCTGAATGTTTCATATCCTACAAGAATCTCTTGCAGTTCTGAAGAAAATTTACTCACTTTTATGAATCCACGTTGAATTTATCAACAGACCCGCAGCTCCCTTAAGAGTGCACACAATATAGCTTTCTGCTCTTTATGTAGATTTCCATGGCAACAGATAAGATCTCACGCACACGCTTGCACTGACTGAAATTTTTCCCTAAAATAGAGCTTTCAAGTGATCCTCCAGCCAGAATCCCTATTCTGTGAGCACATGGGGCCCTCTAGATTTTAAATCACATTTCCCCAGTGTCTCAATCTATATTTCGACCTGAGAGCCTTCAAGGTGGATTGAAAAAAATAATCACCAAGGTGTATTTATCAAACTAGCTTTCAAATCACAGAAAGCAATGTGTCCATTAGATGGGTCTGATTCAGAGATGGGAAAAGTTCTTCTTCTTCTTCTTTTTTTGGACCACAGATCCCAGAATGTTTCGGATAGCTTTCCCATCTCAATGATGTTCATAGTACACAGTGATCCACTGTGCAGTTTTAATTGCTTCTGCAGCTGCAAACAGAGATGTTGAGCTAAAGCAGGTAACAGTAGGCCAGCTGATACAAATGATCAGAGGGTGTTTTCAGTCCCATGCAGCTCATGATAATGCTTGTTCATTGTGAAGTGTTAGTGACAGCAGACTCAGTTTTGATGTTTGCATAGTTTAAAGCAGTTTATAGAAAATTGTGCTATGTTCAGCCATGTGTCTTAGTATATATAACTTAGTGGTCGTAACAGGGGGATGCTACATAGCTTAAACACACAAATTTGCTAGTAAGACTCCTGTTTTTCAGATACATGGTCAAAAAGAAAGGAGGAGGAGGAGGAGGACGAGGAGGAGAATGAGAAGGAGAATGGGTTGAAAATTCCATCACATAAAGGAGAGTAAATCTATCACAGGTTCTGTTAGGCTGTAAGTAAATTTCAGTAGCTTAAAAGGGGCTTATGGCTGAGATTACTTTCACTTAGGCTTGGGGCACCTCACTAACTCTAGAGTCATAAATACCAACTGATAGGCCATAATGCTAAGTGGGGTTAAATGTATCACACTTCAAAGAGACATGAGACCATTTAGAGTGTTCACCATATTAGTTACAGTATTTATACATCACTTCTCCCCCCCCCCCACCATAATGTTTTTAAAGATGTTTATAACCTTTGGCAGTTATTCTCACAGAATATACATATCACACAGTGAATTTTATAACTGCATTAAACTGTTGATTCTAGTCTCATCAGAGAACTAGTTAAAGAAAATAAAGAGTTCGAGTGCAGCCCTGCATCACCATAATAAGGATTACGCATGTTTTATGAAGTCTGTTTTCCCCTTACCATATCCTTCCGTTGGTTTTATAAGCTTTCTACTTAGGTGTACTTCTTAATAATTAGCATTACAGTTTATACATGCAGATAGAAACATTGTTAGAATCAGTCTATTTGTACAACCATACAATTTGACCTAAGGCATTGAAAGGACGTGGACGGCACTCCAGATGGATTTAATGCGATAGCGTTTTTCAGCTGCCATCTTTTATCTTATGAAAGCTAAAGATCTAACTTTCCTCCAGCACTGCAGGAGAGCCATCTACAGCAGGACTGTTTCATTAAGTGCCTGAGCAGAAATGCACAGAAGGCCAGCATGAAAGAAATTCAGCTGCGTGGGCACATTTGCAGTATTATACCCCTTCCTGATTTATATGAACAGTAACACTCAGATTAAAGCACACTAAGATGTTCTCTAAATGAAAGCATGAGTGCAAGAAGTGAAAAAGGCATCTCAGAAAACATGTAATTTTGCTATCCCCAGGAATACTTGCTACGAGAGGCAGAGATGATCATTTCTTAGCTTACCTTCTTGCAGCAGACAAGCTGATGATCAAAGAGGAAGAACATTCGTTGATGGCTCTTTGCTTGAGGCTGGGAAATTTTAGTTAACTCCCCTGAATAGATGAGTTCAGAACTCTTGGCGAGGACATCGTCACCCTGTCATTGCAGCATAAGAAACATGTCATTTTCTTCCCGCAAAGAAGGGAACAAATTTAATATATTGTGGAGGTCTCCCTCTTGGATACACACCTTAATGCCAGAAGGGGGGCTGAGTGTATCAAGGAACCCAAGAGCAATGTCATCAGGAGGCTAGACTCTTTTATGAGGTGGGACTCTAAGCAAGGCCATTCAAGGTGAAATGGTCACACTCAAAACATCAGACTGAGATTCATCTATCCAGGAATTAGGGTACACATCAGCAGAAGAGAAGTGATAGTTCTAGTGGTGATGAGGGCAGAGAATCTCCTCAAGGGGGATATTAGACAGAAGGAGAAATTTAAATCAAGACAAGGAATATGAAAGATCAGTAAGGGGGTAAAATAAAATGAAGATGGAAACCACACATTGAAGAACTACAGTATACAGAAAGTATGTGAGGATGACAGATTCATTTGAAAAAGAAGCCTGTGATGAAGAACCTGCAACTTGAGAAAGCAAAGTGAAAGCTGCTCTTGAAACATTTGGAACAATTTAATCACCAGGATTTGTGGGATACCAATAGAACTATTTCAAGTTACAGAGTCTGAATGTATCAAAATCATAATAAGAATATGGCAACAAATATAGAAAACAAAATAATGGTCCACAGACTGGAAACACTCAATATGCACTGTAATCTGAAAAGAAGAAAACACCAGAGAGTGCAGTAACTAAATAAGAAATGTATTAATATCCCATGGCACAAGGTGATGTTCAAAATTTTGCAACAAAGCCTTCTGTTATATATGGACGAAGAAATGCCATATGTTCAATATGGATTCAGAAAAGAAATAGTATCACAACATTTGAGCATCCTGATTAGAGATGGGCACAAACCTTGGTTCAGAGCTTTATGCCAGGTGCTGTGTGTTCCCTTCCTCTGCCTCCCTGGCCAATGACCCACTCACCAATCAGAGTGCATGCCTCTCCTTTCTTCTTCAGCTTGGCTGGGCACTCAGCCAAGGAGCTGGGCAGGGAAGCCCATGCTTCTGCTGGAGATTCTTCTTCAGCTTGGTTGGGCACTCAGCCAAGGAGCTGGGGCAGGGAAGCCCATGCTTCTGCTGGAGACTGGTCAAACAGCCAAAGAGGAGAAGGAGAGGAATGTGCACTGGCTGGTGAGTGGGAGATCCAGCTGGGGAGGCAGGGGAAGGGAACGAGTGCCACCTGTTGTGCTGTGCATATGAACTGGCATAAACCTCCAAACCAAGGTTCATGCCCATCTCTAGTTCTGATGTATAATCTGTGCTCTAAACCACTGGTCCCCAACCTTGGGCCTCCAGATGTTATTGGACCACAACTCCCAGAAGCCTTCACCACCACCTCTGCTGGTGAGGATTTCTGGGAGTTGAAGTCCAGGAACATCTGGAGGCCCAAGGTTGGGGACCACTGCTTAGACCACTGGTGTTTTTGAACTGCAACTCCCAGAAACATCAGCCAGCACAGCTGGTGGTGAAGGCTTCTGGGAGTTGCAGTCCAAAAACACCTGAGTAACCCAAGGTTAAGAACCACTGCTCTAGACAAGAAGCTAATGTTAGGACAGAATACAGAGAATCAGAATGGTTTCCCATTGACAAAGGTGTCAGACAAGAGGAACCCTATTTCCTAACTTTTTAATATATATGCAGAACATAAACAGAAAGCTGGATTAGCTTTAGAGGAAGGAGAAGTGAAAATGGGTGCAAGAAACATCAGTAATTTAAGATATGCCGAAGACACCATTTTACAGGCATAAAAATAATAATGACTTGGAATGACTACTGATTAAGGTGAAAGAAAGAAGAAACTACAAAAGCAGGGCTGTAGTTGAAGTTTAAGATGACAAAAGTAAGGCTATAAAACTTTAATGCTGACAGTGGAGAAACTGAAATAGTTTAAAATTTTCTATATCTTGGCACAATCATCCATCCAAATGGGGACAGCCACTAAGAAACTGGAAAAAGACTGAGACTTGGAAGGGTAGCTATAAAGGAACTAGAAAAGATCTTTAATCAAATGGGGAGAGCCACTAAGAAATTGGAAAAAGACTGAGACTTGGAAGGGCAGCTATAAAGGAACTAGAAAAGATCTTTAAGCATAAGGTTGTGTTACTGGAGGACAAGGACAAGATAACACATACTCCCCAGTAGTATGTAGGAATGTGAAAGAAAAAAACAGATTCATTTGAAATGTGCTGCTAAAGAACACTTTTATGGATACCATGGACCACCAAAAAGACAAATATTGGTGCTGGGTCAAACCAAGCCTTCATTCTCTCTAAAGCAAAAACAACTAAATTGATACTGTTGTACTTTGCACACATCTTTAGAAGGCAAGACTCACAGGAAAAGACAAAAATGCTAGGAAAAATTGAACAAGACTCATAGGAAAAGACAAAAAATGCTAGGAAAAATTGAAGGCAGTAGTGAAAGAGAAAGACTGAACATGCAATGAATTGACTCAATAGAGGAAGCAGCAAAAAAGGAAGACCAAGTGAGATAGATTCACTCAATAAAGGAAGCCATGGGTTTGATTATCCATGACCTGAGCTGGGCTGATAATGATAGGCCCTTTTTGAAGTCACAAATTCATGGGGTCACCATAGGTTGGAAGTGAATCAATGGCACATAACCACAGCAACACTGTTAAGACACTTGAGAGTCATGAAAGTAAGCCTTCCGCTTCCAACAACACTGTTAAGAGTCATGAAAGTAAGCCTTCCGCTTCCAGCTGATTTGCTTTTAACATTCAGAATCAAAAGAGATAAACACACACATATACTCACAAAGCATCACTCCAAATGAGTTTTGAACTCATTTTGTTCTCTAGGTATTTGGACCTGTCACACTTTGCCCCAGAAAAAAAATTAAACCAGTTGGAGCAACTGCCTATAGATGTGAAAACCATGGCTGCTCAAAAAACTGTTGCCATTGTTAAGGAGAATGTGGCAACTTGGGTCCAACTCAATTTAGTCCAACTCAAAGGCAGCACATCACTACACATCGTCTCACGGAGCTGCTCTCCTAACGCAGTCTACGAGTCACTCCCAAGTCATACTCAATATGTATAACTGTAATAATAATCGTGTGCTATCAAGCCAGTTCCAACTTAGAGTGATCCTTTCCAGAAGTGGTTTAACTTCTGGGGGTGCTCTGGGGTTGTGTAGCTTGCTACAAAGGCTGGCTCTTTGTTTGGGGAGGACCAGTAAGGAAACTCTCAAACTCTAGCCTGCAGCCAGGTACACGACTCACTGAACAGCAGTTACTCCGTTTTGTCAGTTACCTAGGTAAGTTTAGCAACACATCTATAGACCAAAGACAGTGACTGTGCCTAAAAGCATTCCCAAATAAAGACTCATATTTTAAATACATTGGACTCAACGGCTAAAATCTTGCTGCTTGATGTAGTAAGTCACAACTACAAACGTACTGCTCCTGTGTGATTTTAGAAGCTAAGCAGTACTGTCAGAGCTAGTTAGTACACACCAAACAATCAAGATATACAGTACCAGGGACATCCAGATAGGACTAGGAAAGAATCCTGCTAAAACAGTGGAGAAGTGCTGACAGTCGGAAACTGTGGCAGATTCACCAAAGCTGCTAAGGCTTTGAGTACAGCGCTCAGAATTGCCATTTGTGGACCAAACTATACATCGCAGGTATATCTTTTCTGTCTGAGAAATCAGACTCGCACGAGTACAGCCCTCAGAATTGTCATTTCTGGACCAAACTATAATCACAGGTAACCCACCATCAGAACTAAAATTGCATCTTTTCTGTCTGAGAAATCAGACTCGCAAAGAAAGAACCCGCTTTTGGCCTCAAACCAATCACAAAACAGAGTAAGTTAATTTGCAAGTTACAGGAGATGAGAAAGTCCCCTGCTGCAATCATCACACACAATCAGCACATAAGCAATGCCCCCTTCTGGTGATGGGTTGTCTGCAAAACACAGCTGGGCTATTAGGCCCAGCCTAGCTAGATACAGAGAAGGTTGTCACCACAAGGTTGGCCACAAGATGATAAATAGGCCACAGCAACAGTGAATATAATACCTGGATGGAATAATTGCAATCTGCAACAAAATCATGGATGTTGAAGGTACGCAGATCAGATCAGATTTGATTAGGTTATACAGAATATCAGCAGAATATTACAACTTGTTTCTTTCATGATGGATCAGTAGAGGTAATGCTAACAAAATCATGGATGTTGAAGGTACACAGATCAGATCAGATTTGATCAGGTTACACAGAATATCAGCAAAATATTACAACTTGTTTCTTTCATGATGGAATACTCTCAGGTTCTTTTACCTCCCAATCTTCTATAGAACTTTGCCACTGAGCAATTTTGTCTATGTTCTCCAAACGCCGCTTTCTCTCATTGATGAGCCGTGCTACGTTCTTCATAGCATTTAGAGCAGCTTCAACATCTTTAAAATCCCTAGGGTTGAAATAGGCATCATTAAGTATGTCAACACAAACAGCCACAAACAGCTATTTGAAAGCGTCAGAAACATGCAAGCATATTGTGGCGAAATAAAATAAAATAAAATAAATCAGAAGCTATCACGGATGAAGTACATCTGATGTAATTACATAAGACTGCATGGTTCTCTTATCCATGGCATAAGGAAATATGAGAGCATTACAGTATCAAAAGGAAAAAAAGGATACTTCCATCAGAGTAATGATAAGCTTACCCGCTCTAGACACATACACATTGCCTAGTATCATGCTGCCTGAATGTGGAGCAGAAAGGAGATTCCGTAAGTGTCCTGGTTGTTGTGCAACCAGCGGCATTACCAATCTTGCAACCAGCATGATGGGGAGCATGCCTGAATTGGAGGAATGCTTGTGCAATTTCTTTTCTGCTCCATATCCAGACAAGAGGATGCTAACTCTTGTTTTCAATCCTATCTCCTTTTATTTACCTGTGTTGTGGGTTCGTATATTTCAGCAGTTCTGCAAGCTGCAGTGGGTACTTGCAAATTTTCTGCACTGGAGTCAGCAGGAAGCCATCTAGAGAGATGTCAATCATCTTCTGAAGCAAACGACATGCTTCAAAGAAATACACATACTTGTTCACTTTTGTCAATCGGGAAAGCTCCATGCAAGCATTTGGATGGTTGTTGCAATACTCTGAATAAATCTGGAACTCATTTTGCTGAATCGGAAGCCAAAAAAATCATATTAATGGAAAACAATCCCCAAGATAAATAATTTGTTAAATATTTCTTAAATTTATAAATAGGTGAATCACTTTCCAGGCCCAAAATATGACTTATAACTAAAATTTAGAAGCAATTCAAAATGTTTGCTTTAGAATTCAAAATTGTTATAAATAGATCCTGCAGATAAGATCACGGAACAATTTCTACATGAATCTGCTGCTTTGAGGAATTAAAAAAAATGTATTAGGTCCTGAAGTGCCTTTCTTCAGTAATTTTGAATTTGTATTATAGTTTCACAACAATCCTGTAAGGCAGCAGTCTCCGGTGTCATACAAGACTTCAATTGCTATGCCGCTGGTTACTCTTCCTATTTCAGAGGAATTCAACATCAATTCACCCTATCAAGGGGCAAAGAGAAGAACCCACTTACTATAGATAACCAGTGTCTTAGCAACTGAAAGATGTCCAAATGGAAGAAGGAACCTATGTACAAAGCCTTCCATGTATTAGGGGTGGGTTTCCTACTAATAAGTGCACCCATGTGATTATTTCTAACCTAATTCTTCCATACCTGTGAGAAAGAAGCTTCTGTTTTAAGCCTGAAGGTTCAAGCTCTAGCAAGCTAATGCGGTTCCCTGCACTATTGATTTCACTGTTCAGTCCTTCTGAGAGGTGTGAAATATTCACACTAGTGGAAGCTTGTCTAACGTCTGGACTAAAGCTGTTCTGTGAGGTAGGTACAGGGATATACTTTTGCCAGAATTGTCTACAAGTACTTCTCTGGAAGGTCATGCCAATCCAAAAGGACAGTAGATTAAACTTATATTTCACTGCAAAATTATGAAAGAGTTTTGCTCACAATAATAAGATCTAAGACAGGTAGCATTTAACACATCAAACTTTTTTTCAGCAGAGAGCAGTTTGGAGATTCCAAGTCACCAGCTTCTGCCCTCTCCCAAGCCTAGATATGTATGACTATCAACTCACATATTCTAAGAAGCAGGTGCCAATCTCACTCAAGTGTGGGTAATCTTTGTTGAATTTCTTTTCCAGTGCTTTAACAAATTTCTTCTGGCACTTGTAGATATCCTCAATATTCCCAAAGATTGTCCTCAGCTGCTCTTCTGTGAACATGTCTGCTCTTTTACGGCATTGTTTTATATAGCCCTAGAAAAACAAGGATCCGTTGCATAAGTTATGAAGAAACAAAATCAAAAAGAGCTTCAACCCACCTTATCTCTGACACTATGGCCAAACACAGTGATGGGACGATCTGATGGCTGTTCATCAAGGCCAGCCATCCCATGAACAGGAAGGAAGGCAGGGTAATAATTCCACCCTCCCATTCACAACCAGGCTGGCAGGACACCGCAGTGGGAGAGGCATCTCACTGCACAGCCAGAGGTTGGGAGCACAGTTCCCCACTGTGCAACCCAGAAGAGCCAGAAGAGTGGCTCCCCTCTTCTAGGATGTCCCTAGAAGAGGGGAAAGGTAAACCACTTCTGCATACTCTGTACCTCAAAAACCCTGAAAAAGGTTGCCAGAAGTCAGAATTGACTTGATAGCCCGCACACACACGCACGCACGCATGCACACACGCACACACACGCATACACACCCTTATGGCTAACTGTGGCAGCTCTAGAGCAGTGGTCCCCAACCTTGGGCCTCCAGATGTTCTTGGAATGGAACTCCCAGAAATCCTGGCCAGCAGAGGTGGTGGTGAAGGCTTCTGAGAGCTGTAGTCCAAGAACATCTGGAGGCCCACAGTTAGGGACCACAGCTCTAGAGGATACAGAGTGCCAGCAACGGTTGTGATTAGAGCCGAAAAAAGAAAAAAGAAAGGCTGTTGGGATTGCTCAGAGCTGCCAGCATTCTCATTAATGCTTAGAGTAAAGCATTTGGCCCAACAGCTCTTATCCACTAGACTGGCTGCATTCCTGGTGCAACGGTGACTAGAAAGGAGCCAGCATTACCTTCCATATCTGCCAGCAAGCAGGAGGTGTTTGCTTGAGTGGTCATGAGGCTCATCATTGCACAGGCAATCCCTGCTAGCTTCTCTCCCACAGTGCCTTGCTCAAAGGACTTCTTAGAGCAAGGGCTTAATTGGAAATAGTACCAAGACTAGTAAGGTGACAGCAAAAATGTGACCAGGAGGAGGGGCAGTCTCCCTGTCTCAGGTGATGCAGCGTCTTGCACAGTCCCTGTCATTTGCTACTGCAGAAATAAAAACATCATTTCTGCATTTGGCAGTTAAGGGACCAGAGTGCATGTGGGAGGTTGGATCTCTGTTTCAAAGAACCAGAGAAAGACATAGTAGAAGTCCTCAGTGCAGTAATGCTAAATTGCTCCTAAGTCTCTTTCAAAACGAAAACTGCAGAGTTTTAAACAAGTTTGAAACATATAAAAAGATGATTTGCTAAAATTTAATTCTGATCTGGGTTTCTCAGAAGCTGATAAAAATGAGTACATGGCAATGTAAATATCTTCACTCTAGTAAAAACAAAGCCTATTTCCTGCTTTGCCTTGAAAATATACCTTGGACAATGTGTTTTAATGCTGAACTACTAAAACAACTCTCTTTGGTGACAGAAATTATAGTAGTTATATGGTAATCCAGAGACACTCTCTCATGGAAGTCATTTTTAAGTCTATCAAAGAGAATAAATGGACACAAATCTGATATAAGAAATGGCAGAAAAGGAAGTTTCAGAATTCTTCAGTTCCCCCAGAACATGCTGTTACAGATCTCAAAGTAACTGGTGTTGACAAAAAAAAAATCCAAAAGGACAGCTAGCTGGTCTATATTCACAAATTTCCATGTACATCAAAAGGACTAAATAAAAACCAAGGATTATCAACACCCTCTGGCTGAAATCCTGTTGTTTAGTGTAGCTGCACTAAAGCAGATCCACTGAATCAGTGGGGATTTAATTAGTCAACTATTTTGCAAGTTCCATGGATTCAAATGGGCTAAAGTTGGTCACAACTAGAGTAAGCCCATTTGAATCAATGGAACTTATGGAGGAGTCAACTCACCAAATTACCACCAAATTACCACTGGTCTACCTGTTAACAGGATATCTGTGTAAGCAGTACTCTCAATGTCTATCACCAACATTAATGCTCCTGTCATCTTTTTCCATCTCCTTTCTATCACCTCCAGCCTGTTACATTTACTTTTGTCTATAAACTTGTGACTTAACTTTTATATTATGTATGTTGGAGGGAGTGGATTATAATGTATGAAAACTCATATTGAAATAAACCTGTTTGTCTTTGTACTAACAGTACTTCTGTTTTCCTTTTTATTTTGTTTTCATAGCAACAGACTAATATGGCTACTTCTTCAAAAAAAAAAAAAGTAAAGCTAGTTAATTTAAAGAACTGGACTAAAAATGGAACATTTAACCCATTTTTAAAAGATATTCTACAGAAATCCATATTCCAAGCATTACTACTACCCCTAAAATTAAGTTCATTAAATTCTTTGACCCTAATACTCATTGTTGCTTTCTATAAAATAACATTATCTGAGTATTTTGTTACCTCACATATGTCTTTCAAGTGTTTGATGTAGTCTCTCTCTGTGCTGAGGATTTCATTGATAACATTGGTTCTCATTTGATCCTTAGTTGTGTGTGCCACCCCATAACGGTGGGCAGCATTTCTTGAGTCTTCCTCCCTACCATCTTCCAACTTCAGAGGATAATCTTCCATTGGTTCATCCTGATTTACTCGGAGCTATACACAGAAAAAACAGATAAGAAAGCATGTAATTGTTTCATAAATCTGGTTTATATCCACTGTTCACATAAGGAGAAGTTGGGGTTCCATCTGCCCACATACCACAGCAGCTGCTGCATACTGCCAGAAAATATTTCAAATGAATCCAATATGACAGTACAGTGAACGGATCAGAGATAGGAAGAGCTATTTATTAATCTGAACAATGTTGTCCAAAATTTATTTTTTCCAGTCGCTCACTAGAAGCACAGGAAGCATCCATCCCCTCAAAATGCCTCTCCAGCACCCAAGGGTTTGCTTTTCTGAATCAATGTGTATGGATCCTTACCCGTACAAAGCTGGCAGGAAACCAGCCCTCGCTGTCCATTATCCTGCCCCACCACCACTCTTTATTAGTAGCATCCATTACTTCAATGACATCACCAGCTTTGAAGCCCAGCTCCTGGTCATCCATGGTGACATGATCCCAGAGAGCTTCTGCATAGACCACACCACCATCACTGATGAGCTGAAACAAAGAAAGCAAACATGTTTTTTGCAGGAGATCCAGTCCAACTGACCATGACCAGCTTTTGTCATCCAAGAGACAGAGAGATTAATGTCTGAGTGATCACAAAGTGCAAGTGGAAGTCTGAGCTTTGGGGGACAACTTGAAGCTTGTATTTAAGATTTAAGTAAGCAGAAGGACAAGTAAAAGCACAGAAAAAGTAACAATCACACTGGTTTCATTTCTCCATTCATAGTACATTATGATCTGGCTGAAGACTCAATGCTACATGGGCAGATGTCTTTGTTGCTGATTAGTCTAACTGAGATCGGACAGCAATTTGGAGACTATTGCTGTTTACTTGAAGTCCCATACATTTGAAAACTATTAGTACATGGTGATGTGTAATTCAAATATATCTTACCTGGCCAACCTCATAAACCTGTACTGGTTTTGTGCCACAGAAAGAAGTTCACACACACAATAAATGCATGGCTTTACATAAGCAGGAACGAACCCCCATGTAACAAGTTACTAACTTTTGAACATAAACATTTTTTTACTAAGCACAAGGTTGAGACTAGCAATTAATCAGTGCAGTCAATGGTGCCATTTGTTCTGCTTTGTTCTCATGGTTCACTTAGCAAGAGGAAGAGGAATGTACTACAGACAGATTACTTTGATTTCAGTGAACTATTTATACACATTTGAGAAGCCCCGTCAGGTATAAATGAAGAACTGTATCTGTATGTTTATCAAAAGCAACAGATGCAGATACTTCTGAGGCTGCAGTGGGATTTTGTTTGCTCAAAATGGAGGATCAAACTTCTCTGTTTTCCTGTTTGCAGCAAGTCCAGAGTCTAAAACCACTGTATCATTTGGTGAGCCCATAACTCTCATACACATAGAAAGCTTGGCGATTTGTGAGGAATTCCTGCTTCAGGAATGTCAGAGTGCCTTGAGCCATCATATAATAACTGGGCAAATACAGGCAAGACTACATCATGGCAGCAACTCTGTTCCATTACCTCATGAAAATAAAACAAACTGTCCCATTTGTTTTATTTTTAATTATGTCCTGGGAATATGGATGCATTACAGAAACTATTATCCCACCCTTTCTTCAGGAAGCTCAGATTGGTGTGCATGGTTCCCCCTTACCTTAGCAATAATCTTGTGAGGAAGGTGAGCCTCAGAGTGTAACTTAGTGAGCTTTATGGTTGAATAGGGATTTTAATACATGGCTCTCTCATATAAGACCAACACTCTAGTTCTGGAATAAGCAACCTGTTGACTATCAGATATTCTGAAGTCTGACCCAATAAGCCAACCAGCAGGGCCAATGCTCAGGGATGATGACAACTGAAGTGAAAGAGATCTGGAAGGCAACAGTTTGCCCATTGCTGCTCCAGTTACTTTTGCTACATGGACTCTTGCCAATGCACCATAGGGAAGTGTGGTAGTATAGTCCAGTGGTTTTTAACCTTGGGTTACTCAGGTGTTTGTGAACTGCAACTCCCAGAAATCCCAGCCAGCACAGCTGGTGGTGAAGGCTTCTGGGAGTTGCAGTCCAAAAACACCTGAGTAGCCCAAGGTTAAGAACCACTGGTATAGTCTTTTCCTTAATCTTGGTTTCTACATGCAAGGATTTGTTTATATACTGGATCTGAAGTGATAGATGAGCATTGAGTCATGTGAATCCCTGCCTGAAGTAGTAAAATGCAGAACTAAGTCTGCTACTTCTATGTGAACCATATTTAATATACTCCTCTGGTTTGATTCTGGCAAGATTGGCCTGGTCTGAACTGGAGTGGAACCACCAGAGAATACCAAGGACTCAAAACACAGCTATGAAAGAATCTGTCCTGAATGCTGGAGAACCAGTCAGAAGGAACAATTCTGGGCTAGAAGGACCAACAGTAGATAGCTGTTTGCTAGGAAAACTCAGCAAGCACCAGCTTCCTAACTCTCTAACTAGAAACTAAAAATACTAGAATCTGTAGAACAGAACCATAGTCCTTTCCCTGTCCTTCTGCCAGTTGTCAATATTCCCTGTAATGTATGTCATGAAGGGAAGGACGCTCTTCTGCTTAGTTATATCTGGCTTCCAGGATTGCACCTGCAGTCCCAATGCGACTGGCGACACATACAGATTAAGCTAAATATTGACTACACCACAAGTGCTTCTAGAGTTGATTAGCATTTTTACCAATCAGCAGCTGTTTTGAGCTATTTGCAAAAACCCCTTGCTGCAACTTGTTTGCTTGTCCTTTAACAATGCAGCTGAAACTATCACATTTTTGCTAAGCATATTGTGTTTACGGTTTGATGTCAGAAAATATATGTATAAAAAAATATATACAGTAGGTATTGTTGTCACAGATTGTCTGAGCTGGAGCAGGACAAATGAGGCCAAGAGGGAGGCAAAAATAGCCTCCATCAAACCAGGTTAACATAATTACATTGAAAAGAACCAATTTATCCTTATTCATAGTAATGCACCTCACCAGGTTATACATCCCTTTGCACATTCTCATTATAACCATTGAGTTCCCATTTGTCTAAAATGGTTCACCTCCACATAACTGCCTTGTATATTCACAATGCTGAGTGAAAGCTCTGGGTGACAATAATAAAAAAGAGAGAGAGTACACTTAGTGGGTTCACTTTTCCTTTGCAGCTTATGAATCGTTGATTAAGGCTGCTTGAGAAAACATTCATCCAGTTAAACCTTTTATGTCTTTGCTGCTATTTAAATATCTCCATAGTAACTCAACAGCAATAAAACTGGGCATACTTTATTGCAAAGAGATGAGAAATTAGTCCCATTTCTACCAGGTGCATACGGCCCTAAGCATAAAACTGTTCTTGGCAAGAATATACAGTTTGTTATAAAGCTTCCTCAGCACATATATCTGAAAGAAGAGGCAGTGCTATGCATAAGACAAAGTTACCACCGCATCAATACATTAGTTATAATTCTATGCTATCCAATGGGAAGTGCCATCTGGTTTCCCATTGGGCTTCTTATCTGGACTCTGTTCATATGGAAGCAATGTATTCCATCCATCAGCATCCTTCTAAGATAAGAAGACAGCCTTTGGATCAACCTTGGAAGCATCCTAAGGCATAAATTAGGTGCCACTGCTGTTACTTCTCCATGCTTCTGTGACAGAAGATTCAAGTTTAGCAATAACTGAAAAGTAAACCACTCCTCAACATTTGGAATTCTTGCTTCCTCCTTTCCTGTACAGTTGCTGACTTTTGTTTTTAGTAAATCTGGCTTCATTTCACACATTTTAAGCTCTGGCTACAGTGGACTCTCTGTAGGGATTCACTTAGCACTTTAAGCCCAAATTTAAAGGTTGAAATATCGATTTGCCACATCTGCATGTAGGATGGAGTGTGCCAATATCTAAATCAGCATAGCATCACCAAAGCAGATGGCATGCAAAGCACTAAAACAAGGTTATGGCATCCTGGCAGGCAAGCAGGCCAGCTCAAAGGTTTACGTGAATGAGTTGACTGAAAAATGACACTCGGAAATGGAATTTCACACAAAAGAAAAATAGAACATTGATCTATCACTGCATCTCATTACAGTGCTGTTCAGTACATTCATATAGCTCATAAGAAGAAGAAATAAACTTTAGAACTTAAAACTAGAATTCTTAATATGTGAAGTCCCATTTATAGAGAGAAAGCAAAAGGATAAGTTTCTGTTTGCTAAAGGAAATGGTGAAAGAAAACCTATTTTCCAAGCATCGTTGAGAAATGAAAATAAAACACTCTGGCGCCATATGTCAGAACCCAATGTCTTCTGATTGGAAGTGCCATGTGTATCCCAAGGAAGGGGACCTTGGGTGGGATAAACAGCTGTAGATGATCACCAATGAAATCTAAAAGCTGGCAGACATCAAGAGGTATGTTTTCACATTGGTTCATTCTAATTTAAAGATAGGTATAACGGCTTAGCAGCCCCGAAATTAAAAGACGCCTACTTCTTGGGAGGAAAGCGATGACAAACCTTGACAGCATCTTAAAAAGCAGAGACATCACCTTGCCAACAAAGGTCTGAATAGTCAAAGCTATGGTTTTTCCTGTCGTGATGTATGGAAGTGAGAGCTGGACCATAAAGAAAGCTGACCACCGAAGAATTGATGCCTTTGAATTGTAGTGCTGGAGGAGGCTCTTGAGAGTCCCCTGGACTGCAAGAAGAACAAACCTATCAATTCTAAAGGAAATCAAACCTGAGTGCTCACTGGAAGGTAAGATCCTGAAGCTGAGGGTCCAACACTTTGGCCATTTCATGAGAAGAGAAGACTCCGTGGAAAAGACCTTGATGTTGGGAAAGTGTGAAGGAAAGAGGAGAAGGAGACGACAGAGGATGAGAAGGTTGGACAGTGTCATCGAAGCAACCAACATGAACTTGACACAACTCCGGGAGACAGTGGAAGATAGGAGGGCCTGGCATGCTCTGGTCCATGGGGTCACGAAGTGTCCGTACATGACTAAATGACTAAACGACAATAACGGCTTATAAATTCCATGAGCATTTATTGTTAGGTTATGCTCTAGTGCAAGACTGTACAGCAGCAGTTTTCTCTGTGTCCTCTTCTGAGCCCTCAACTTACATTTACATTCTCTACAGCTCACTGTGTATTTTTTTTTTTTACTTAACCAAGTTAGGAATAAGATTTAGGATTTAAAGATTAATGCATTGTAAATCAACAGGGAAATAGGAAGGGAAATTAAATGTATTATATATAGACAGCTATATTAAAAGATAGATGAGCTTCTGGAAACATTAGGCCTTTCCTCCAGAGACACTACCCGAAAGGAAGGACATGGCAGAGGCAGAGGCAGAGGTGTACATACCAAAGGAAGGACATGGCAGAGGCAGAGGCGTACATACAGGAGCCCTGCAAGCCAAAAGAGACTGATCCATTGTCTTGCTGGGCTGAGCAGAAGTCTGTGGAGGTTTGGCCAAGATGGCAGTGGGGCTGCTGTCTTGTCCACCA